CCGGCGGCGACCGTTCGGACATGCTAGCCTATGTGGAGTGAGTCACCACACCCTCACTGTTCGACCGGAACATTTCTCCAAATCGAGCATCCTGCTGGAAAACTTGGGTTGACCTACACAGCCTACCAGGCCAAATCAGTCTCGTCAGGGTTTCTGAGAAGTGTCTGCGGAAAGGCTGAGTCTTTTATTTATATACTGCTTGTGTATAATTACTACATAATCATAGATTAGACTATCTCGGTTGTTGCTACCTGTTATACTCAACCCCGAAATAGTTTATACTAGTATAGCCAATATCTGGTTCGACAGTATCACCCACAACTTGGATATTAGAATAGAAGACAAACACTACAGAAGTATACACAGCCTATCTTTTTTGTTGTCTTTTCTGCTCTTTTAAGCCTTAAATAGTTTCTACTAGTATAGAAAACATCTACTTCGACATTATAACTTATACCTTGGATATTAGAATAGAAGACGCATACTACATATCTAAAGACCATCCTATCTTAAATTTACTTAATAATTTCTGCCACCTGAACTCTTCAATCATAAAATCTTTTTTAAATATTCCACAAATATATAAGCTAGATATGGGTATCCAACTAGACGAAGCGTTGAACGTAAACAAAAGAGCCGGCAACCCGGGATTCGCACCCAGTCTTCCAGAACAACGGGCCGCTGAGTTATCCACTACACCATGCTACGTCGATGTGACGGATAAAAAATTTAGTTACTTAAGCCAACTACATGTTATCGATGGATAGCTTATTGTTCCTTCATCTCCCGCTAAGCGGACAAGAGTCTAAGCAACTCTGAAGCGTGTTAGGTACGCAGATGAAGGTTTTCCTACATATGGAAACTGAGATGAATAGCATGAAGCTATTGATCAGTCCAGGGATCTATCCACCGAAGGAGCAGGACAAGGCCCAACCGAAGAAAAATAAGGTTTCCAAGCGCCACAAACAAAATGCTTCATCAACAGATATCAGCGTTGAACTTGGAGAAGAAGCGAATGTGAGTAAAAGTCCGGCAGGGCAGGGGC